GGGATGGGAAGGAAGGGAAGAATGGGAAGCAGCTTTCCTGCTGGCCTCCGTCTGAGGTGTGGGGACAAGGGCTTTCAAGGCTCACCCTGGAGGCTACCTCCTCTGTGACCAAGGTAGAGCCGAGACTGGGGCCTGAGGGGGCAGTATCCATCCAAGAAGAAATACCTGAGCCCAGGGCTGTGCTTGACTCCATGTGGAGTGTGGCTTCTCTTCTGAGGGTCGTGAGGGGTCCAGAAGCCAAGGCCCATGTGTAATAGCAAAAGAGCTTTGTGACAAGACCCACATGGAGTTGAGGGAGCTGCCTGAACCCCAGCGAGAGCCATGCCAGGCCAGCTGGGCTGACTAGGGAGATGTCCTGCACCCCCACTTTGCAGGTGTGGACTGGGCAGTTCTCCAGGGCCCCTCAGCCTCAGAGAGCCTCAGATTGGAGGCAGATTGCCCATCCCTGCCCCCCACTGGCATCACAATAAAGCAAGCTGCCTTTTTATGGTGATTCCTGGCCTCCCTGTGTTTATTCTCATCGATCGAGCTGGGAGAAGAGCTGTCAGTTTGGGGTGGGAGAGGGGTGTGTGTGTGTGTGTGTGTGTGTGTGTGTGTGTGTTGCGGGGGGAGGGCGTGAAGGGCAGGGCAGGTGAGGACTGGGGCCAATTGAAAGCTGTCTGTCAGCTTTCTTGGCATGTCACTGAGGAACAGCAAGGTTTTGTTATTTTTTAAATATATTTTTTATTGTTGATAGTATTACAGATATCTCCCATTTTCCTCCCTTTACCCCCCTCTTCCCAGCCCCTACCCACCCCCCCTCCAAGTTTTTTCTTTTTCATTATTTCAGAGGAAGGGAGAGGGAGGGAGAGAGAGAGAGACAGAGACAGACATCAATGATGAGATGCCTCCTGCACACACCCCACCTGGATCAAGCCCACAACCCAGGCAAGTGCCCTGACTGGGAATAGAACTGACCTCCTGGTTCATAGGTCATTGCTCAACCACTGAGCCACTCTGGCTGGGCAACAGCAAGATCTTTTGATGTCAGTGTCCTGTACCTGACAGGAACTGTGACAGGGTCACTTGAATCATTTCAAGGGTGTGACATGGCCTCAGGGGTGCTGCACAGATGCAGGATGACAGAGGCTTGGCTCAGGAGTGGACACGGGGCCTGCCACTGAATGAGGCCAACACTCCTTCACCGCAGGAGCCTGAGAGAAGTGGGTCCCACCCCCTCCCCCTGCTCCAGAAAAACCAGAGCAGGGGCAAGGAGCTGGGAGTTTCTCAAAGGCACAAGCTACCTTCCCTATTTGGGGCCCCCAGTGCCTAGCACATAGATGATGCTGAGTAAAAGTCTAGGCCAGTGGTCGGCAAACTGCGGCTCGCGAGCCACATGCGGCTCTTTGGCCCCTTGAGTGTGGCTCTTCCTAAGCCTTAGGAGTACCCTAATTAAGTTAATAACAATGTACCTACCTGTATAGTTTAAGTTTAAGAAATTTGGCTCTCAAAAGAAATTTCAATCGTTTTACTGTTGATATTTGGCTCTGTTGACTAATGAGTTTGCCGACCACTGGTCTAGGCCAGGAGGTGGATGAATACTTGGGTGGCCACAGGGCCCTTCTGGCTCATGGACTTGCAGGGATGCAGCCAGATGCGGTTCTATTTAGTGCAGCAAACCACTAGTATCGGCTAAGTGCCAGGACCCATGCTACGTGCTGGGTGAGAGCCAGGGCCCTGAAGGCCATCTCCAGGTGTGGCCTGCTCTGTGCGTGACGCTCCCTGGAGTGGGCAGTGTGACCATGAAGGGAGCTTCTGAACAGACTGGATGCTGCCAGCAGCTGAAGTGGGCAAGCACACACTTAAATTCTCTTAAAAAATGATGTAGACCTCTCATTAACTCTGCCAATTGGCTGAGATGGGCATGAGTGAGGAATCTGAGTCCACGTTCCCAGAAGCCCAGTGCCCTGCTGGGAAGGCAGGTTCCCAAGCAGGCCACATCTGTCCAGCTACTGTGTTGAGCAGCTGGGAGGGAAGGCCCAACATCACACTGCAGACTGGAAGGAGTACAAGGCTTGTTGGTGAAAAGGGGTGAAGGTAGCAGAGGTGTAGGGGCATGCGATGTCCCCTTCACAGCTCAGCCCTCCAAGACCTATTGCTGAAGACTAGGTACGTAGACTCTTGTGACCCCCGTTTCTCTGGAGGGAACATGACCCCATAGAGGAGGATGGGGCTCTCCTGCCACAGAAAATGGGGGTAGGGGGTGAGTGGGAGACAGAAGCCAACCATTCCCTGGACACAGCTCTCCAGCTGTTCGGAGGCAACTTAAATGGCTCCAGAGGTTCCCCATTCTTGTTCCAGCCAGGATTTGCGTGGAGGCCTAGTGCTCAGGGGATGTGGGCCAAGACGCCTGGGACCTGGAGTCCCTGAAAGCCAGCGCCATGGCTCAGCTCTGATTCTTGGAGGTGGTGCCAGGAGGGTTGGCAGCCCTTGGCTTCTGACACCCTGGAACAGTGACTTCACATCTGGGTCCTATTGCCATCAGGCAGGGTAGTGGAGCCAGGATCAAAAAGTGCCCGAGTGGCACACAGCTGTCTACCTTGCCTGCCTCGCCAGCACCCACCTCCAGCAGGTGCCCCTTAAGCTCCCTCTGCTGGTCTTTCTATGGAATCCAGAAACCCTAGCAGCCTGACTTGGCCCTGAAGGGACTCAGCTGTACTGCTTTTGGGAGTGAGGACCCAGCTCTTCTTGAGAGCCTCCCCATTTGTCCTGTAGTCTGGAGGAGGTCCCCAGGCAGTTCCAGGTCACAAGTCACTTGCCCTCCATGCCCCCAGCCCTTCCTACTGCTATGAAGGACAGAGCCGAGGCACTGAGCCCTGCCCCCTCAGGGAGGTTTGGGGCCTACCTTCCCTGCACTGTTGCCCTGTTCCTTTCCTGGAACAGGCAATGGTGATCAAGCACCAGGGTGCCAAGGGTTTGCCATATGGGCTCAATGACCCCTCACCAAGACCCCCTAGGAGGCAGTCACATCAGAGCTGAGCAAACTGCCTTGGAACATGTATGTGGGAAGGACTCCCCTAGGACTTGCCATCTAGCCCCTTTGGACTCCAGGGCTCTGGGCACTTCTGCAGCCATGGATGGCACCAGTGAAACTCCCTGGCTGGGCAGGAGGGCTGAAGGTTGACCTGGAGCATGATGCAGGCACAGGCACGTGTGTCTGGTGTCCGATGGCACTGGGTGTTCAGGGGAGCGGTAAGTGAAAGGCCAGACTGGGAGAGCTGGCAATGGCTCCTCAGAAATAGGGGTTCAGGCCATTGCTTCTTTCTGTGCCTTCTATGCGTCCCACCTGACACCAGGGAGTGGGAGCACATTGAGAGGCAACGTGGAGGGGGTGGGGTGTAGCGCTTAGAATGACTACACCCCAGACAGCTGCCAGGTTGATCGGCTTCAACTGTATTAGTGAAATGGCCACTCACGATGTAAGCACGAGAGTACTTCAGTATGTGGCTCATGCCCAGGGCTGCACACACAGGAACCACTGCAGGCCGTGTAGGGCTGTCTACATGTGTTGCTGACTGCTGGGTTTGGGGGAAGCCAGGCAGTTGCCGTCCCCATGGTAGGCGGTCAGAGGCCCTACCCTGGGCAAGCCTGAGGGACTGAGGGGCAGGAGAGAATAAGGCAGTCCTCTGCCAGACCACATGTGCTGGGAGGAGGGGCAAACCCATGTAGGCAACCAGGAGACAGCAGGTAGATGCTGGTCACGGGGGCCCGAGGCAGGGAAGGCTTAGCTGGGGGCTGGGGTAGGCAAGCCTGCAACACCAAAGAGCAAAGCAAACCCATGAGACGGGAGATTCAGCCCAGTCCCCGCTCAGCGTTGCATTATCATGTGGACCAGGGGATGCTGGCTGCCCAGCCCTGACCTGTGTGGAAGGCAAGGTGCAGTGACGCAAATGAGGGGCCTCTAACTGTTTATTGAAAGAAGCACGGGGGGCTGGGGGCACTGCCCTCAGGCCTGGATGTGGCTCTTGGCGTTGAAGGCCAGGTAGTAGATCACTATTCCGATGACTGCGGCCAATACCTCGGTGGAAACCCAGGGCCCGTTCCAGGTGCCCTGCAAGAAAGGAGAGCAAAGCAAGCTCAGGGGAGGGATGGGTGAGTGGCCTAGCCCCTGCCCCCCAAAAGTATGAAGCTTGCTGAGTGCTTGCTGTTTCCCAAGCCCAGGCCAGCCTCTTCAGCCCACTCACCCGATGGTCTACGCTGACTGTGAACAGGGGTGCGATGATAGAAATGTCTTCGTTGTTTCTCTGAGCCTGCAAGGGAGGTGCTGGGGTTAGGGGTGCTGCCGGGTGGGGTGGGGTAGGAGAGACAAGAGCACTGGCTTGAGTCAGGGAAGAGGGGAGGAGAGAAATGGGTAAGGGAAAAACATAAGGTCCAAGCACAGGCGGGGCAGGTGTATAGGAAGGCACCCACCCAGCCACCCTGGTCCCTGTAAGCAAGGCCCCTGGTGGCCCAGAGCTCCAGGAAGAGGGGCTGGAGGGTGGAGGGCTGT